GGAGGTGTTCCAGGCACGTCCAGCTGGGAAGAGACCAAGGGGTAGACCTAGAACCAGATGGAGGGATTATATCTCTTCGCTGGCCTGGGAGCGCCTTGGGATCCCCCAGTCAGAGCTGGTTGATGTGGCCAGGGAAAAGAAAGTTTGGGGCTCTCTGCTGGAACTGCTACCTCCGCGACCCGACCACGGATAAGCGGGAGAAGATGGATGGATGGATGGATAATTGCAAAGGGTCAATGACCTTGTGATGAATATTAATTTCCAGTAGGCTGTTTTTCTGAATTTTGTTCCAGATCCTGTTCCTCTCTTTTTACATTGGCTTTTATTTCTACTTGAGATGTGTGTCATGTCTTCTGTTATTATGTTTGTTCCTTTCAGGGCTCCACATGGTCTGTGTTTTGTTTTTATGTTGACCTAAAATGTCTGCCTCATGTGCTTATTGTATTCATGTTTCGGAGGTCTTAACTTTTACTTTTGATCTTGCTCGTGAAGCACTTTGTGAATTCTGTTTCTGTGAAAGGTGCTATAATAAGTATTATTATTATTATTATTATTATTATTATGTGGCTTTATGAGGAAGATCCAAGTCAATATTCTATTATCTTGAAAACTAAATTCATTGATAGCAAGACAGAACATTTATTTATCAAGATTTAAATGTTTGATTTTTGTAAAGCAGCAAAAGAAGGTTGAAGTCAGTATATCAGTAAACTCGCATCATTGTTTTGTCTCGTTTGAGTCTTGTTTGGGTTCTTGTCTCATAAATGTTCTTTATTCTGGTGCAGAAATAAGCAAAGAGTCTCTAATCAGACTGTTATGCACGCATTTTACCTCACGGGGAATGTTGAAATGTTCTCATTCAGGAGCTGAAGTAAACCACAACAAATATTATCCTTAACTAATTATTAATACTGTTGTCTGTGTAACTCTCCAGGACCGCCGACAAGGAGAGAGCAGTAAGCCTGCGCTGGTGAGACAGGAGCCAGTGAAAGAGACAGAGAAGAGCGCAGAAGGATCCGCAAACAGAGGTTAGTCTCAACACTTTAATTTACCATCAGTAATTCCAAAGTAACGGCCCTACATTTTTCAATTACATTACATGTCATTTGTTAGACGCTTTTATCCAAAGCGACTTACATACATTGAGTACTGTGGGCAATCCCCACAGGAGCAACTTGGGGTGAAGTGTCTTGCCCAGGGACACAACGGCATGCTGACTGCAGTGGGATTCGAACTCGCTACCCCCTGATTCGAAGTCCATCACACTATCTACTGAGCCACAGCCTCCCAATTGTATCTGAAATGACTTCTAGGAACAAGCATGGTTAATTGTCTATCTGGAAAGGACCAGAGAGCAGTCAGAGGCGCAAATAATTTGTCCGGAGCCAAAATATGTCTAACCTGAAAAGACCTAGTAGAAACAGAGAAAGCAATTAACTCAGTCGCGGTAAAAAGGTGTGAAATTAGAGACAATTTTACACCTTTTACAGATGTGTCTGGCTCCTGAGGGGACAATGATGTACCACATGATCAGAACTGACATTTGATCCAGGTGTTTAACATATAGACAGGCAGACCTGCTGCAATACAACAGGATCCAACATGGACTCAATTAGCCTGGATGTAATTGAAACTCAGCTTGAGCTCTCGTTTTGTTGCTAAACTTTGATTTTGAATTTGGTTCATTAGCCGGCGTTTCTATTGCTTCTGTCACATTTTACTCAATGGGGCAAGACTTTTCACTACAATATACAGAATACTTCCTTCTTTGGAAATGGCACAAACATGGAACTCATAAATCTTTTGGTGCAGATATTATACCGTAAACAAAAAACATGTTTACTTTCTTTAAAGTGACTTCTACTGTGACATGTTTCCATGCTTTAATGTTCTATAAGGTCTTTATTTTTCCCATACTGCCTGTGCTGCAGCACCTCTTTTCACCCTCTGTCTGAAACCAGAGCCCAGTGATATCGTTGTGTTACGAACATCTTTACCAATATTCTTATTGTCGGAGCCACACGAGAACGGTAACGGTCGTATCCGCTACAGTTCTCTATCATATAGACGGTTCGGCCACACGAGGCCGACAGGGAAATGCAGATAACGATAACGGGTCCCAAGGTGGGTAGAGCTGCGGACAAAACGCTCTGGGGGGGCGAACGGCTCCGTGTCTACGCCCTATACGATCATTTTCTGATAACGATGACGCAATAGCCCCGCCTCTCCCCACCTCTTCTGCTCACTCCCGTGTCACCCGCGTCATTGCTGATGTGTTTCACCGCCAACAACAACAGTTTTCCGAGTGATTTGAGCTAGGTCCCGGTATCTCGCAGGACAGTACACCCAGCAGGTGCCTCCAGCAGAACCCCCCCGCACGGCAGAGTTTCCGTTAGCCGAAATCAAAAATTCTCCGGTCAAAATGTCGCTTATTGGTTAGGTGTCCTTTGACACTCAGGCAGTCATATCATTAGCTAGATCTGATCGATATGGACATAAACGCGAGTGAAGTCTAATCGGACCGGAGAGAGAGATCAGCTGCTGCTGATGGTGAAAAAGAGCCCTGCCTCTCCCCACCTCTGCTGCTAAATCCACCGCGGAGAATAAACAGAGGGGCAACCATGGAAACCATGCTCGGAAGTCTTCTTCACTGCTTTTGGTGTATTTTGTGGCGGAAGTACAGCGCCACTTACAGGCCTGGCATATGTACTACAGCGGATCGAGTGGTCTCGTGTGGAAGGACACGTTTCTGGTGCCTGTTGCGTGTGGACGGAAGACTTTTTTGATAACTATTTTGGTTAGTTTGCGTTACCGTTCTCGTGTGGCTCCAGCCTTAGTTACTTGTTGTGTTTATGCTTTGGAGATGTTATTTTTCACACGTCTGTTTTTAAAAACACCTCCTCATCAGATGCAGGAGCTGCTGAGATCATCTCCATGACTCTGACGGAGCTGTCGGTCTTTATGAAGAAGCAGGAGCTGGAGCTTCAGCTGAGAACAGAGAAGGAGAGGGAAGAGGGTGAGTATCCACTTGGTAATAAATCAATAACAACATACAATCAGTGTTTGACTCGGCATGGAAAAACACCGGGACACATTGTGGGATATATCCACCAAAACCAAATTTAAGTGTTACATTGGGCCGTCCCAGAAAGAAGGGATGAACTGTTTTTGATTTCTCTTTGACGAGGCGTGGAGGCTCGAAAAAACATGAGCCAAACCACAGGGTTTCCTGACTCAAGTCTGCTTATCCAGTTATCCAGTTCCAGTAGTAAAACAATATTTATTTATAAAGAACATAGCCCATAGATGCAGCATAGACCATTACTAATGTGTATAATAATTACCATGAGGGTGTAACACAATTTCACAATTTGTACCAAATGCAAAATTCAGATATTGAACCTGAGCTCATGCACTTTTAGTAAAATATCCAAGATACTAACACATCCCTGTTTATATGCCTGTGTGTTTAGCTAGCTCTGCACAGTTATTGGTTTAAATCCCACTTGAGCCACTTGTACTAAAAATAAATGCACCTACAGTTCTGTGAACCGCTTTGGATCAGAGCATCTGCCAAATGGTACAAGATCTGCTGCCAAAGCTCGCTGCTTTAGACTTAAACATTTCCACTCTCTTTGGGGGGAAAACAGAAGCCCAGAAATCTTCTTTCTTTCTGTTTAGGATAGCAGGTACTTGGCACTTGAAGCGCCGGCAGAAATATTTAAGCACAGATATTGGCCTTCTGAACATACATGCACGTTTAAAGCCTCCAAAATCCTCCTTATGTTGTTTCCGATGCAGCTGCCATCACTGAGGAGCTGCTGAAGATCACCGAGGAGAAGCAGGAGCTGTCGGGCCTGAGGGGCTTCGACTCGCCCTTCTACCACACCACTGAGACTCTGACTGGCTGTCAGGCACAAGACAAGACCCTCTCCAACGCCCAGTCCGGAGACCCCGTCACCCACCCTGTTGAATCGACGCCAGACAAAGGGGAGAGCACCGCGAGCACCAGCGGGGTCGGGAGCGAAAGAGAAGGACGGGGAGCGGGGGACAGCAGGAGTTCAGCCCTCGATCAGTCCTGGTCTTTCCAGTCAGGATTCACCCCCATCGACCACCACCTGCACCGGAGCCCTTCAGCTCCAGACGACGAGGTGAGCAAGTTTGGGATGTTCTCCCCAAGCCCCTGCTGCAAGACCCCGGGGGCCATGGTGCCCTACGAGTCGTTCTTTGACCTGGCTCTGCCCCGAGCCGCCTCGCTCTTCGTGGGCCAGAAGACGTCGGAGGCGGTGCACAAGGCGGCGCTGGAGAGGCTGCTGCAGCAGGAGGAGGGCCTGGAGGACGGGGAGGAGGAGGGGGTAGTGACCGCTTCGCCACTGGAGGTGCTGGATCGCCTTGTTCAGCAGGGGAGCGACACCCATGATAAAGTTCTCAAGAGGTGAGGGGCTACAGTGTTTCCCATACATTGATTTATTTGTGACGTGCCGCCACAATTAAATATCGTCCACCACAAATGGATCTCATTAAAAAAAATATATATATTATTATTATTATTGTCTTTTTTTTTTTTATTATTATTCTTTTTTTTTTGGTTGTCTAATGGATAGTGAGGTGGGCTGATGATCGGAAGCTTGCGAGTTCAAATCCTGCCTAGAACACTACTACTAGTGTGCCCTTGAGCAAGGCACTTAGCCCTCGGTTACTCCGAATGTCCCTGTAATTGGTCATTGTAAGTCACTTTGGAATAAGGCGTCTGCTAAATGCCTAAATTGTAAATTATATTTTTGGGGGGTGCGGTGCCCCCACAAATAGAATCAAATTCTATGGGAAACACTGGGCTAACTTCAAATGAGTTCGTAACTTTATTCAAGGTTATATGGCCGGTTTATGTAATTATTCAGAATCGTTGTCGTGTAAAGAGGTTTTCCACCATTTTACTTTTGCACCTAACCCTAACTCTTTTTCAGCCTTATTTTTAACAACACTCATCCGATAATCCTCTAATCACGTACATAGCATATTGAGACTATTTCCCCACAATTGTTCACAAGGCATACAGTTCTACAAGATGTGTCGAGGGTGCACTGTTTGACTCTCTGCTGTCACTGCCACATGACAGCAGAGCTCCAGAATACCAACTTGTCAGATGATCGGCCGTCACACACACAGCGCTTTATCTGTGAGTGGAATAGCATACTTGCATTAGAGCGTTACTGCGCCGTGTGCACACATGTTGTGTGAGCATGGGGCTGTGACGAGCGCAAGCCGGACCCTCCCTTCTCTGTCGTTCATCAAGTTGACTGTTGAAGATTTGGAGATAGAATAGACAGTGGTTCATGTTTTTTTTATCCTGGCATGACACCACTGAAAGTTATAAATTCCAACCATGGAAAGTTTACCTGGCACACACAAAAAAGTATAGCAAATGCAGCCATTTTGGTTCCAATTTATTACAATACAACCCCATTATTCCCACTACTTTTGTGAGTAAATGGTCTCATGTAGTGCACAGTGCAGCCGTGGAGGAGGTGTTTGTGCTCGCTAGTTCTTTACTCTGTATGAAACTCATGTTGATCACACACTCGGTAAACAGATTACATCAAAGCTCTCTCCTGTGCTCAGCCTGCCTAGGTAGCTTCCAGTCTGTTACTGCGGCCAAAGAAAACAGCCCGTTGAGAACAAGCACGACGTTGTTCAGAGTCCGTCGGCCCTTTTTTCTTTCTCCACACACAGCAAACCGGTCAGAGCCAATAATACAAGCGCGTCAGCAGAGTCAACTCTGGACACAGAACAATCTGGCTTCACTCATTTCACTCATCTATCACCCCCACGCCTGTCTTCCTCAGAGCCAAACACTGGCTGCTGCTGTTCATTGCATTAAATGCCAACATGGCGGTCATATTGGTACAGTTAGGCCACGCCCCCTTTAAATATCTATGTCTATCAAGGCAGGAGGTTTATAATGGTTACACCTCGCTGAATTTTGAACACATTTTTAAGCAGTTTTATTCAACAAAAAAAGTCAGGCATGTTTATTTTTGAAACCTTGTTAAATGTATCATGCAGTGTTTTTATATCAAAATACTTGAAACCAATAACTAGACTGCAGCAGTGACATTTCTACAATATAATATTTAAGATCAAATTACCCAATGTAATTAGTTTCTTTTGGTTTTAGCATTTACTTCTATTTGTATTCAAGTGTTTGCGATACTCTTTTGTTTCAGATGGTTTTATATTATTATTATTTTATTATTATAAATGCTTTTTGGTAGTTTATTCTTTAACAATGTAATATATCACCCTCCACTTTTTTACTATATTGTTAAATGGCTTTTTTATTTAAATGTAATTCATTTAAAAAATAAACAATTACAAAAGATACTTAATTTAAAACATTCAAATATCTCCTGCATTTTTAAATTGCTGCTGAGATAGTTGTGTTTATATTTTTGGGAAATAAATAAAGATTTAAATGATTTAATGTAATTACAAAAATACACTAAAGTTAAAATATTAAGTAAATTAATCCAGAAAGGACTTTAAACCTCTGACGACTAAGAAAAAAGGAACAGGTTGCTTTACATACACATAAAGTTGGTGTAAATGACAATATAAACAGTGTGGATAGATTTTTTTTTGACTGATATTTATTGTACTTATTGTGATAAACTCAACACGTTTAAATCAGTAAAATCCGTACAACATAGAAAATGTTATTGCCTGTTGCTTGGGTCCATCACTTCTTTAATTGGAACATCCAAAAGTAGGACAAAAGTCTGGCATGTGTTCTGTTTGAACTGGCACCACCTGTGTTCCCTTTTGAATATGGCACAGTACTTGCGGTAAACTGGGAAAACCTGGTTTGAGATGTACTGTGTTTTGTAATACAACCAACGTCAATAAAACATGGATGAATTTGGACACAGCAATATTTTTTCCCAATCCAAAAACCACAAGCTCTTCCCCAAACGCTTATTTATACACATATTTAAATGGCTACTGGAAGGACTTCTATTTACGGTCTTATCCTGAGCAGCTTAAGAGAGAAACATCCGAGGCAGATCATCTTTCTAAAATGTTTTTCTTTCTCTCCTTTTTTTCCAGATTACCTTTGCCAAGTAAGTCAGCTGACTGGACGCACTTTGGAGGTAACACACTGGCAGCGCAGCACTGCCGTACACTGATAAAAGACTCTATTATGAGGACTGCAGATGGAGCGTTATTCAGGCATGACTAGTGATTCGTCACAAGACGTGAACAGCATGTTAAAAACATTACCCAGACAGACGGGGAATTTGTTCAGCGGAGGGTTTTATCGAGAAGCACAAAGTTCCCACAGTCACGCAGAAATCCGATCAACTCAGAAATTCGAAAAGTTTGCCACTTATTAGAGATTTACTCCCCGTTTATTTACCTCCCCTGTGTGCATTCAGTCAACCAGAGCCAGAATCTAATCTTCTCCAGCTGACAACAAAACAGAAACACTCTGTTGTTTTTTAAACTCTCCGCCAACTTGTAATTACAACTGAAACGTAATCATCTCCCCGGGTTTGTGTGATGGGAGTCATTTCTCTCTAACTCTGCAAACCGATGTGACCTCTCTGGATCAGATTCTCATGGGAATCTTCCTCTAAATGCTCTTTCTCTGCCCTCTTCCCCTTTGTACACGTTAGCAAGAGAAGCTCTGTGTGCAGCGTTATCTTGAAAGGGTACAGCATTTCCTACATTTCTAATATCTTAACAATGTGATTAAATGGTTAAAGCAGCCTTCAAGGGATAGTACGGATGTCTTGAGGTTGAGATGTGTATACTAATCCACAAGTCGGCCTGTTTTAAAGTCGAGGGCTGTCGGCATGCCACTAGTTTGGAGGAACACACAGGAGTATGAGAAAGGAAGCTAAGCATTGTTCTGCTTTGGAAGGGGGCAGCACCAACATGTATTTTTTTACAGCCCTTTCTGATCAGAGAACTAAAACGGTTATATATATTTTTTATTTTTTTATTTTTTTTTATTTAGCCTTTATTTATACAGGTGTAAAATCTCATTGAGACACAAGGTCTCATTTTCAAGAGAGACCTGTTCAGTGGTAACACTACCACACAAAGTTACAGACAGACAGGACACTAAACAAAGAGGCAACACTAAAATACAACATTGTAAAAAAAGTAGTCATTGAAATCCATATACAGTCAGATAGAGCAGGTGCAAACACCCACAGAAGATTTCTCCAGCTTTTTTAAAATGAGTTTAAAATCCGTGATGGGTATCAAACTGGTCAGCTTAAGGTTTGGCTCTTCAAACACACCAAACCCCTTTTTCAATACAGATATTTTACCTTGCAGAACACATAGAAACTCCCTCTGGAGGTAACTTTGGGATTTTAGCGTTTGCAGACCATTTACATGCACGAAAACCTATATCACACACTATAGGAAAGGGAAAAATCCCAAAAATCTAAATAGGGCCTTTTTAACTTGTGTGCCGTAGTTTTCACCAAACTGGAGGTGTGCAGATTGTCATCTACTGTGAGTAATAAAATGACTTTAGATACTTAATACAACCTTCAAACATACGAACAGTCCCTTTTTAAGGTCAGCCAAGTAGAGTTCTAACCATCAGGTCAGTGGTTCAAATCAAAGACAAGCTGATATAATCCTGTCACTGGATATGGATCTATAAAACAGTCACATTTTAAGGTTGTTTTCAATCCTGTTTGGCTGCGGGAAGTTTGCACCATGAGCCAAGGTACAAGTGATTAGTTTAAGTGCAGATTTGGTAATCTTATTATATCATTTCTTGAAACCGAAAAATACTTAGTCTTAGCACAATGCAGCTAACTTGTCTCCACCTAATTAGATTCTAGCATTTTGGTATGGGTGTGTATTTAATTCAAAAATGTCCTTTGCAAATACAAAAAAACGCTTTTGTTCCGACGCCTAACCTTACTTTTCACTTGAAACCATTTTTTATTTAATAATGGAATCGAAAGTTTTCAAAAAGTAAATGCTGTACTCAATAAAATTGGCAGATTAGATTAGATTTATGTATGAAAGTCTTTAATCAAATAGTAGATAAACACGATCATTGCTGTTACTCCAGATGGTCAAGGCTAACTTTTGGTCCTTGAGATATTTGTTATGCTGCTACAGTCAGATTTTAGTCTGTACCAACAGAAGTAGGTAGAGGTTCAAAGTCTTGGACTGTTAACAGAGTTGTATGTATCTTTTGTGCGAAAGCTCAAGCTTTTTCGCACGTTTTTTTTTCAATTAAAATATCCCAAAATATAAGATCCATAGTATAAATGCACTGAAAAAATTACATAAATATATATTTAAAAATATAATATATTTAAAATACAAATGTGCAATAATAAGATGAATAGAATACAAATATTTATTATATATGCATATTGTCAAAACAATTGATTTGCAACCCTTCCACTCTAACTACAGAGCTATTAAAGTATTAACTACAATCCTAATGATGAAAACCTGACTATTGCTTGAAATGTGTAATATATAATACACCTTAATGCACATTTAAACTTAATGTGTGTCATGATTGTGAACTTGTTATTTACACTATTCTTCCCGCGGGCTCCCCAGGTTCGGCCCCGCTGGACGAGCTCCACACGCTGCGCAGCCAGCTGCTGCTGCTGCACAACCAGCTGCTGTACGAGCGCTACAAGAGGGAGCAGCACGCCGTGCGCAACCGCCGCCTCCTCCGCCGCATCATCAACGCCACCGCGCTGGAGGAGCAGAACAACGCCATGGCAAGTTTGCACGTTATCTTTTTCATGAGATGAGCCCCACATAAAAAAACAGTAACACATCTAAATACTTCAAAGACATCTTCAGAGGCATTTAAAAACTCCAGCTGTCAAATGAGTCAAGAATCATATGTAGGACGCCGCAGAGGAGCTTTGACTGAAGTTGTTTTGGTTACCCAGACAACAAGTGATACTTTCAAAGAAGGCTGTTCTGTCTCATGGGATGAAATGTAAACAAAGTGGTGAAACACTGACACATTCATGCAGCAATCAGCGGAAACTCGTGCTTGGTAATTGAGTTCTGTTAAGGGGAAAAATGCCCTCAGTAAGGTTGTGTTCGGACTGCAAGGCTTTGTGCTTTTTTCTTTTACACGTGTCCGATGTCAGATTCCTGTGTGAACTGGTCATGTTTCTGGATTGACCCAAATGCAAAAAGAACAATCCCATCACACTTAGCATGCTGTCATAGGAAATGAAACATGAAGGCCACTTGCGTAAGCTTTTGCGGTTTGATTTGTTAGCAGTGGTTAGCGCCAGGAGTTATGTCTGTTTTCTATTCGCTGAGTGGATCGGGCTAGCACAGAATGTAAATGACTTTTTCCATCTAGTGAAATAAAAGTCACACCAATTCCAACCTGTATCTGATTTTAGTTGTCCAAAAAAAGTAATCTAAATCATATTCCAGATAGATCAGACTCCATGTGATTTTTCTGTTCACCCTATTACAAAAACCCCCTGAGTCACACGGGCACAGAAAACACATTCCATTTTAGGACACTTTTTCCAGCAGTGTGAACGCAGCATAAAAGACCGTCTGGACTGCACAAACTGCTGGAAAGAGCTTTAAAAGATCTATTTTCTCTAACCGCTTCACACTTTGTGCTTATTTTGTGCATTTGTGTGTGTGTGTGCAGAAGGACCAGCTGAACCTGCAGAGCGTGGACATCGTGTCTCTGAGGGAGAGTCTGCAGGTGGAGCAGCAGCGCTACAGGCAGCTGTGGGACGACCGGGAGACGGTGGTGACGCGACTGCACAGTCAGATCAGACAGCTGCAGCAGGGCCGGGACGACTACTACACCAAGAACCAGGAGCTCCAGGTACACATCCTTCACCTCTTTATACACATTAAATATCAGACTGTACAAATACACGTGTCCACAGTTTTTGCATTTGTAAGATATCTTGTAAATCTCTTTAATCTGATTTTGTGTTCAGAGTAAATTGCAAGAGGGTCAGAAAAGGATAGATGATCTGGAGGCGGAGCTTCAGAGGGCCAACAACAAAGTCTGCCACACCGGTCACCTTCTCAACCAGATGACTATCAAGGTAAGAAAACACTTGAGTCATGGTCTGATTATAATAATGTATTTGTCAGTTTCAGGTGGTTTATTCAGTACAAGAGCCTGTACTCTGATACCATTTGTGATACTGTTGGTACGGATGTGTAAAAGTAAACCAGCTTCAATACATTGCTGCTATATTATTACTGGAAGTTGAATTGAACTGGTGTTTCTGCCATGGAAAAATTTCAGCCTTTACATTACAATATGTTACGTCTCGTTTAGCTGATGCTTTCATCCTTACTTAAAATAGGTGCAATGCATTTTGAACCAAAACACCACAAAAATCCTGCATATAAATTCCAAAAAGCCAAACTTTTCTGTGCTAAATAAAAAAGTGACGCTTCCAGTCCAACTTGTATCTGATGCTTCCTTCCAAAAAGCAGGATGTTTTCAGTTTTTTTTATCTTTCATGTCTGGGCAGGTTTTACATTTCACATAAGGAGATAAACGCGTCTGTGCTCACTAACACTGATCACTATCACACAGCATTAAATTGCTCTTAGTTGAATCAGAAATAGTGTTTAGTCGCTGCCATTCAGGCTCCTCTGGGGAAAATAAAAATCCACCTTCTTTTGCACTCAAAACTCTAATATATAAAATATATATCAACAAACATAAGAGGACAAAAAGCTAGAAAGAGACACAAGTAAAAGTAAAGAAAGAAGAAAAACAGAAAGGATAAAAGTCAATTTACAGAATATAGTAGGAAACTTCATTAATTAAAAAAATAGCACAAGTACATTTATTGTCAACGACCAACCAGAGAGTCATTAATAATGTTTGTCAGATTTCTTAATGCCTTTTCCTGCCTTTCTATAAAAAGAACTTGGGCAGGATAGTGATTAGACAGTTGGGTCAGACTATAGGAGGGTTACAGCAGCACATGCCCCCCCCCCCCCCCCCCCTCGTCCTGCCACCTCTCTGTGGTCTGCACACTGTCCCAGGGCTCCGTTGCCTTGGAAATGCTGTCTCTCCTTCTCTATTTTTGGGTCAGCGACACAGGGGGTCCGGGTGTTTTTCTGCCTCCTGGGGTTTGTGTGAGGTCTGTTTTTAAATCCTCTGACCCAGGAAACAGGGATTTAGACGACTAAAGGTCCTATTTGTGATATTCATTCAGAAGAAATAGCCTGTATAGTTTAGCCTGGGGATGAATTTCTTAAGAGCATTTTAACAGAGAAATAAAGTGAACTTCCGCCACAGATGTGTATGCTGGGATGTGCACGGCACATTTGGAGAGATCATTAATGACTCATTCCGCCGTACTCAGTGTTGATGCTTTCCCAGATATTTCGGGACAGGTGTGATTTGTAGTATAATTGCTGTTTTGCCCTCCATCGTCATTGTTTGTCTTGCGTGTCCTTCAGCTGAGCAACAGCGAGAGCACCCAGCAGCAGATGAGCTTCCTGAACAAGCAGCTGCTGCTCCTCGGGGAGGCGCACAAGCTGTCCATGCAGGACCTGCAGCACGGAGGCACCGATAACACCAAGGTACGCTGGAGAGAGGGTGTGTCTGTGTGCGGGACAGGTGCAAAGGACCACAGACACAATATAGGAACACTAACTTACTGGTATTACTGGCTTACAGTTCCCTAACTTCGTACTCTAACCACCCTGGGAAAAGTCCTGCATATTATCATGGTATTTTTAGAATAATATTACTACTGGATTAATGAGTAAGTTGCATTTTCCTGCTGTTTATGTTTTAGGTTTGGTAGTTTAATCTCCATTAAAGAATTATATCGTATCAGGTTATCATATGTTTGAAGCTTTGTCCGTATTCTGTGAGAAAGACGCATCTCTAAAAAATGTCAACTTTTCATGAGTTTCTCCGAAAAGAAGTTCAGCTTTTGTCATTTGTGGAGTAAAAAATACAATATTTCCCAAAGAGATGTAATGGAATATAAAGTATCAAAGTAGCTATAGGGAAACACTCATTTTGATTACCGTAATTTTCGGACTATGAGCCGCGCCTTTTTTCCCATTTTTCGACCCTGCGGCTTATATAACGGTGCGGCTAATCTATGGATTTTTACAGCTAACGGCCACTAGGGGACCTCCTAAATCTATGGATTTTACAGGTTACAGTCCACCACCTTTAACTCTATGGGCTCTATGGCCGGTCCGCGCCCCCCACCTTTAAGCGGCGGGCTCCAGCAGGAAAAGCTGGAGGCCGGAAAAGAGTGAGACAGGTAGCACGCAAAAGTAAAAGTGGAACCGAGAGTGGTACGAGAGACAGAACGAGAGCAAGACAGACAGACATTACGAGAGCGAGACAGTTTGTCCCCGTAGCCACTGTTAGAACAGCCACGTGCGCTGGGAGCGCACCGTCTAAGTTTGAAAGTTGAAAAGTTTGTGTGTCTGAAACGCTATGTGATACAGTACAGTTTACACAGCACAGTACATGTTCTGTAGCTACTATTGCACTAAATGGTAACACTTGAATACGTTATGCAAATATGCAACTTGTTTGTTGAAATGTTAATAAATGGGAGCTTCCTCAAACAGCCATCTCTTTCCCGACAATCCCCTCTGTGCACGAACCCTTACATATGGTAATTAAACATTAAAACACCTGCGGCTTATAGTCCAGTGCGGCTTATATATGTACACATCATTCAATTTAGCTGCTGCGGCTTATATTCAGGTGCGCCTTATAGTCCGAAAATTACGGTAAGTACCTTAATCTCATGCTTAATAGGATCATTTAGTGTGGTTTTAATTGCATCTCATTTCTAGCTCGATTATTTGCAAAGTCTGGAAGTAGAAATGACAAAGCGTAGGGGTCAAACTGTCTCCTAATCTCTTTTATTTCTTAATCCTTTCTTCACTTTGTGCCTGTGTGGACACTGACCCACCACCATGCAGGAGACCCAGATGCTGAAGGTGTCTTACGGGAACGAGGTGGAGACCCTGAAGCAAAGCCTGCTGGTCCATGGTCAGAAACTGGAGGCGGCCCAGCAGAGAGTCGCCGAGCTGGAGACGCACCTCTCCAAGAAGGAACACCTCATCGTCGAGCAGAAGAAGTTCCTGGAGGATGTGAAGTGTCAAGCAAAGTGAGTCTGAACCTCCAAGTCCTCACAAGAAGCTTCATATATCCTCTTTGCTGGGAAAATACTGAATGTACTCTTCCAATATCTATATAACAAAGGCCTGACGTACGTACTTAACCGGATGTATGATTACCCAGAAGAGCGTCAGGACACACTGTTTTAGGCACATGATAGCTATTTGACAACGATTAACATGAAGATTCAGCCTCTATGGAGATATACATATGACTGTCATGTTTATTGCTTATGTGGGTTTTAGCTAATCTTAACAAAACATTGTATACTGCTTTGAACCAGTATTCCTGCATCTTGTGACTGATACACCCTCTCTTGTATACAAGCATGTTAAGGACACTGTTCTGGGAACTATTTTGTTTCATGCAGCTCTGTATGTGATGACTACTTTCATTCTTGTAAGGATAATAAATACATGTATCCTGATATGGAAGCTCAAGCCAGTGACGAGTGATATCTTTCCTAACAATCTTCCTCTCTCTGTTTGCAGGGCGGAGCTGCAGGCCTCCGACAGCAGGTATCAGGTTCAGAGGAGGATCACTCAGATGCTGCAGACTGAACTCCTGCAGCTCTACAGCAGGGTGGAGATGGAGGCTCCTGCCAGCACCGTCAGCAGTCCACCACCAGGGGGCAGAGCTGACCCACAGACTTGTGCTGACTCCAGGTCAGGCTGAGCACATTTTCTTTAGTGAGCTGTTGTATTGCGATTTCACTGCTAAAATGACCACTTGATTCAATCTACTTAAGCTATGTTTTATAATGGTCCCCGATCTTTGTGCATTGTGAGAGTTTAAACTGACCAGTGTGATGCTCACATGTGGTATGTCTTACGAGCAACACCAAACAACATGTTATATTTGTACTTTTTTAACCCATTTATAAAATCCTAAATATATTAAAACTATCAACTATGACTGTATTTCATGTAAAAAATTGAAGAGTAAAAAAAGAAACAGATTTCAGCTATTATTTTTTTATCTTGTTAATCATCCAATGACCTCTCAAGTAAATATCTTGGGTTATGCACTTCTAAGTTAAATTGGTCATTTGGACCCCTGTAAACATTATGAATTTAGTGTCTCATTGTGCTTTATAAGTGCTTACATTTCATCACTTTTATTATATTAGTGATAGCAGTGCCTTCACCTAAGTGATATATTTAACTAACTTTGGAGTAAAACCTGATACCTGATGGTGTCAGATACTGTATGAATGAATGTTGTCTATGCAATCATTTAAAAATTAGTGGCCAGTTAAATACATTTTTTGTATCATCTGATCAATCAATGGTTTTCTGAGTCCTTTTTTATAACGTGTTAATATTTTTCTCCTCCACAGTGTCACGGTGCCAGGTGGACGAAGCAAACCTCACACCATCGAGGAGTTGGTAGAGGGTAAACCACCCCGCGACTCCTCCCGGGGCAACGGCAGCACTTTATCGCCACGGCAACCAAAGGTGAGCAACTCTTCCAAGACGGCGGCGGCGGCCAACTCCATGAACGGCAGCCAGGACCCGGCCCCACCGCCCCTGTTGGTGGAGCCCTCCCTGACCTGTCCCTACGGCAACCCGCTCACTGCCCTGCCCCCCTGCGACACACCGGTAACCGTGGGCTCCTACCCCAGCGCCAAGAGCTTCCTGGGCATGAGGGCCCGCGAGCTGTTCCGCAACAAGAGCGAGAGCCAGTGCGACACGGAGCAACCCGCGACGCGTTTGTCCGGTCTTGCCCACGGCCTGAAGACGGATCTGTGCGTGGAGCCGTCCTGCCCAGGTTACGGCGCCCCCGTTGGTCCCGTACCTTCCTCCACTCCAACCCGAACCCCTGCCACCCCTCTCACTGTGCCCACCCCCTCTGAGCCCAAGCAGCGGGCCACCAGCCAGGAAAGCCCCCGCCGGAAGGCAGCGTCAGGCTCAGGCGGAGGGAGGGGTCAGGCGGGGTCAGGGCGCCCCCGGCAGCAGCAGCTAAAGATCATGGACTACAACGAAACACACCACGAGCACAGCTAGAGACACGGATCTGAGGCGGGACGCAGGGCGGCGGCCGAGAGACTACAAGTTTAAAACGATGGAGAAGAGCTACAAATCAGCTAAAGAGTTAACATGTCAGTGACTCTTTGGAATTCAGTGTTATTTGTTCAAATCCTCTGAGTGGACAACAGGATTTCCCACAATGTTTTCCTACATTCTTTTTTTTCTTCTTTTTTTTCCAGTCATTCCCCTGAAAAATGTTGAAAAGGATACAAAGTTGATGAGTTGTTACCAGTGGAGATGCTAGTGGTATGCATTTAGATTGTATGCAAAGACGCTCATGCTAGCAAGATGCAGTTATCGATAACTGTGTGACACTGTGAGTCTGAAGATTAAAGGATAAATGAATCCAAATGACAAAAAAAAAACACTTTGCTTGAAAACATTTACCCATATTTCTCAGATATGTCGCTTTATTATGCCTTCACAGCCAACACAATGGTAGCAGCAACTTGTCTTCTGAAACAGTGTCAAGGTTACTTTGGATAATCAACAAACTTTTCTGAATTTGTACTGGAACTACTTTTGAGTGAAGAAATAGTCCCTTTGAAAACGAATTAAAGTGAGGTTTGTGGAGTCACATGGACACTATTTGACAAAGACGGGCTGTGATATTTTTTAGATGTCAGTTGTAACTTCTGAGGGCACCACAATTATAGCTTATTTCACCACCATTGTGTTGCTTATGAAAACAGGAATCTAAGAGACAAACATCTCCAAATGTGGACAGATAAAACAATAAACAATTAGAGTTAAGTGAGAATTCCTTTTTGTAGTTTGGATGTGCTGACCCTTTAAAATCCAAACAAAGAGCTAGTAATGTTACATCTGTCAGGCATGCTTTGGCGTTGACCATGGACCGAAATATATGTTTGATATCAGAATGCATGTTGAGGGTTACATCAAAGCGGTTGAGGTGATAAGTACCTACAAGACGCTTCGTTTACTATGGGGAAACTTTGAAGTGAAACCACTTGAAGAACTGACATTTCCATACAAAACTCAATTGAGTTTTTGTCCAAATTAAGTCAGAGAGAGAATGTGTGTTTGCAAAAAGGCAAGCATGTAGGTCGTGTTGGTTCTCGTATTTCAGCTGAAATGAGGAAAGTGTATGAAAATGTAAAACTGAAATTGTTTGCATTCTTTTGAATTCTATTGTACCTTTTTATGTTTTATTTATTCAGCCATGAAGGGCTCCCATGACGTACATATCCTACATTTGAATCAGACCTGGCAAGTAACGCAAGCCCAAGCTATAGTTACCTCGTTTTCTTCTGATTATTAGAAGTAAACTCTGGCATTGAAAGTCGTCTAAATCCTGTTGTCCACCTGGAACTCCTGCTGTCACTTCCTTTTGCCTCGCTATTCTAAAGCATGTTCAACAATCCACTTTAAATGCCAACAGTAGTAACTACCGCAAACCAAGACAAAAGGTACAATCAGCACAAACTGAAGAAACCAGGACTCTGAACAGAGCTTGAGATATCTGGGATAAAATGGCAAAAAGGAAGTTCTTAAGGCAGTGGCTTGTGTTTAACTGTGAACAATAAAGATCGTCTTCAATGTTTTGCACTACAATTCTGAGTTTGGCTTTTTTTCTGTCGCCTAATGTAATCCCCTCCATTTGTAGCCTACCTCTGTGGAAATGTAGCATCATGGTGTTTTTTCATTATGGCCAGTTGAGTTTGGTTTGGGGACGAGACACTTTCAGGTGTTTGCACATCGAAGAGTCAGTCTGTCCTTCTAAACTGTGTTGTTGGTTTTCAGCTCAATTGAAAACAGAAAGACAATCAAGGAGTTTCTCATGACAGTACAGTAGCCTATTGGATGATTGTCTTTGGTTGTCAACCCTGTGAAATAACGCCCAACTACGCTTTAAAGCACAGGTTTGACCACTAGAATATAAAAATATATTATTAAAATAGGGATTAATCAGTTTAGTAATTTTCTTTACCATATTTTCTTTTAAGTGTAGGCTACCACAGTATACTCAATATATTTGGTTTTTCAATTGTTATTCACACACTTAATGCAATTAGAAATTGTCAAAGGTCTTTTCCACTATTTTTAAACGCGCAGATTTGTACAATTTTTACAGTCTTTGATTAGTTTCCCCATCTAAATAGGGAAACCCGGGGCTCAGAGGGGATACATTTTGCCATTTGTAATATTTTTGTTCAATAGAAAAAAAGGGTTTAAAAACATACAGGAATATTCAAATGATTTGATTGTATTGACGCAGTTCTTGTAGGAGTACTTTTATCATACGAAAACCTTTTCCCTCTCTCGTTTCTGTCCTTAACTTCATTAGCTTAGTTTAGCATAAACCGCTAGCTTAGCACTGTTCATGGTTTAAAAACCGCCCAGCTGAATTTAATGAGGCGAATTAACCTGCCTCTGCCTTATCGTAGCATATATTACTGTAATGAATGGATATCGTATTTTCAACTAACGTAAACTCTCAGTATAAGACGGCCACATTTTCCAAAATGTATTTTTTCTTCCTCAAATATCGAGGTAAGTCTAAAAAGTTCTAATTTCAACATTTCGGTTTCGTTAGCTAAACACAAGATAGCGAATTAGCCAGTTCCTGCAGCAACATGCAGTTTAATTTGACTACCTGCATGAAAACTGTAATTTCTTAATTGTTACTTGGTATGTAAGTGAAAAGAACGTTACAAATTGTACATAATTTACATACAAACATGCTTTAAAAACAATAGGACATGTACAGTAGGCAGGACAGTAACCAAGGTAGGCCTACATGTTAATTATTCACGTATGACATTGACGATTTAAGAGGATATTTATTTACTAGCCTGCTTAAGTCTTAAGGGATATCTCAACCTTGTAGCCTACAGTGAATCTACAATTTCAAATTTAAAGTGGGAGGTTGTGCTTTTTAATAGAATGAATCTGCATGCTGAAAGATCTTGCTGAAGTGGAAGTGAGTCCTCTTTGTAATGCCTACCCAAAGTACAGCCAATACCAAATGTTCCAAATCAGGCAATATGTATATAATCTATATTCATTTTGGTATATGATAGTATATCCACTAATTTCGTGAGTTGAGGGTTTATGTCTGGATTTAAAGATATACTGTCAAAATATTGAATTTAGCTTGATTAGGCCTTATTTTGTTTTGTTTTTTGTATGTTTTCTAGTCCAAAGGCAGTTGTTCTTGAAATACTCTCTTCCAATAACCTCAAATGTATTGTTGGAAATGTTTTCATAATATACAATATTCTTTCTTCACACTCCTGTTAGTGTCCCTGTTTCTTTATTGTTTGTATTTACTTGTATCCTTCTGTTAGTTGTCCTGTTTCCACCAGAGGACACTGTTGCTCCAAAATGCAGCCCAGTCCACAGCCATGTTGGGATCAACAGGTAAGACAGTGTGGTAAATACGGTGTTACACAGATGATGATTGAACATGATCCACATGCTTAGGCTGTTAATGGTGCTGTTCAATATATGACAGCTGAATTGATGATATTGACGAGAAGTGCTGTTATTTTTCCTGGTTTTTTGGTTATATTTCAGTCTAGGAAATGGTATCACAACTGTTGAAAAAGCAGAACAACCTTCTGTAAAGACAGCATACAATACATTCAATAAAATATGACTGATGCTTAAACAAAAGTTGATTTATACAATTACATTCATCCTATTTATTCATGAATCTATTTGAATTGTATTACACAAATGTGAATGTAACAGAATTCTGTCTCTTTGTGTTAGTATTTTTTTATGTGTGAATGTACATACGTGACGATGTGTGCGTGTGTTTTATCAGCTCCCTATTCCCCAGGCCTGGCTGTGAACTCTCATCCTGTTTCCAGGACTGAATCATTTTTTGTGAGTACAACCGACCAAGTATGATTAGTTTATGAAAAGTGTGCATATGTATTTCACGAGTGAGTCCAAAAAAAAAAAAAAGAAAAGTGGTATGATTAATTTACCAGCATTCCGCAGGGTCAAGGAAATTGATGCAGGATAATTGGGCACGCAGGGAATCCTTGGCAATTTGTGCTTTCAGACTCTACTTGAGAAATTAGATGTCAGTGCAAATGTGAAATTGCTCCTCAATGTTCTCAAAGATTCCATAAAAATTTAAACATAAATCTTAAGTATTTCCAGCAAAGGGATTCTTCCCCTTTTTTTTTATTGCCAACTTGAAATGAAGCCCTGTGAAAATGATCTNGTTTTCAGTGTAACATAATTTCGTTGTGACGAAAAGGGAGCTGAGCCAGAATAGGTGAGGGTAGGAACGAAAATGGCGCGGTAGACAGAGAGCTTTGCCTTCTGGCTCAGCTCCCTTTTCGTCACAACGAAATTATGTTACACTGAAAACATTCAAGTGCATGGGGTGTGGTGTAATAATGTGAGCATGGAGGGGGGAGAGCATACCTTTCTAGGTGGACTGGACTGGACTGTGTTGGCTGGTAAGGAGATTATGGGGAAGTCATCTGATAGGCTGGGAGGTGGGGAGGAGGTGGCTGGAGTGCTGGAGGCAGGCGTTCCTTTCCCTCCTGCTCAGGAAACCATCAGCAGGAAAGACAATTCCAGTGTTACTTAGTTAAAAACACTACAGTCAATCAACAGTTGTTTTAAACCTGGTGTGAGTGTGTACCTGATGTGCAGTGAAAGCGGCTGGGAAGGTGTGAGGCACTCTGGGAGAGCTCTAGGTTGGGCGACATGCCCCTGGAGGAAGGGGGCGTGGCCATGCCGCACAACGAGGAGGGGCTCCACAGAGGGTCCTTCCCCCCGCAGGAAGAGTTGATTTCACAGGTGGAGTTCTGCAGAGAAAGAGACAAAACAGTACAATTATTACAGAAAAGTAAGAATAGTTTAGCATTGTTCTCTCTCTAGAAGGGAGATGGATTATGTCTAGAAAGTAGAATTACAATTGGCGGCAAGTAGTTTTATTTTAGGATACGGTCTGCAAATGGGGGGGAAACAGCTACCTTAGCTCTGTTCATTTGATATATAAGTAGCGAGACTACCTGTTCCCTCCTGCTTGATTCTTTAACAGGGTTAGACATTAAGGGTAAAATGCCACTGGCCCAACCATTGTAACCACTGGCCCGGAGCATTCGTCCAAAAAAAAAAAAAAACGACTAATAATGAAGAAAATTAACACATTTGTTGCAATAGTAATTTATGCACTAACTACATTATTACTTGTACTACAACATTTGAATAATCAGTTCTTCCTCATTTTCCTCAATTGTTCATATTTGGTTTATTAAAATAATGATATTGTGGTCATTGTTCAAAAATGTCTGCT